AGATATTATTATTACACACACACACACACACACATATATATATATGAAATACCTGAAAACATATTTGTCATCATAATATCCACCCTTCCCTCTTATTTAGAACATAATTAAGAAAGGGCAGAAGATTTTCCATAGATTGTTCCAAAGACCTATCTGGGAAGAATTTAGGTAAGTATACACAACACACACGACACATACATATATATATACACACACACACAAAAACATACACAGGTTTGAAATGCTATTGTCTTTTTAGATAAATATTTTTCTAAGAAAATTTGTCTAGAAAACTTGAGAATCTCTTTCTGTTATCCAGTTAGGTTCCATATTGTGTGGATTCTTTCATCTTTACACTTCATCCCTGGTCACTACTCTAGGGGATGTACTCATCACCTCAGGCATGAACCACAAAGTTCCTTTCTTCACTTCTTTTTCCTCTCTTCCAGTTTAACTATATACTACCACTGATTTCATCATGTTGTTCCTCTATTTAAAGAATTCCAATGGCTTCCCATTAACCACAGGGGGAAAAAAAGTCCAAACTTCTCTGCCCTAGTGATCTGGCTCCAGCCCCCATGCAATTTCACTTACCTCCCACAAGTTCCCAGCATGTTTCCATTGGGCTTGCTTTATGGCTCTCTAATTTTTCCACTTAAGGCTTGTTCATGTTGTTTTCCCCATTGGATTACTTGGCCCACTTTCTTTTGCCCATCCAAAGCCTATCATCCTTCAATGGCCAGCCAGTTTAAATAATTACCTTTACTTCAAGGCCTTTCTTCACAGTTCTACCAACACTGATCTCCTTTCTCTGACCTCCTATAGGCAAACTGTTTGTACAGATCACTGTGGATTTTACATACTGTTTGCTTTTCAAGCATTAGCCCTGCATACCCTGAGGTAGGGACTTTTAAAAAAATATTTTAGTTCTAGGTGGACACAATATCTTTATTTTATTTTATGTGGTACTGAGGATCGAACCCAGTTCCTCATGCATGCCAGGCGAGCCCATACCACATGAGCCACATCCCCAGCCCTGGGACTTTTTTTTTTTTTAAACCATTTTCTGCAACATCTTGGGTAAAGATCTACATAATAGATGTTCAATAACCAGTAGTTAGACTTTGGTTGAAGAGCCCCACCAACCCCATTTGTATACAACTGAAACAAAGTATACAAATTTCCCATTCTCATAATAGAATAACCATCAATCCCCTTTATGCTCTCACTCAAGCTCTTTTCACCTGGTAGCTACTTGACATGTTTCCTGACCATCCCTTTGTGGGCAAACTTCCCTTTAAAATTCTTAAGCCAGGGCTACAGACATAGCTCAGTGGTAAGGAGTACATGCCCAAAGACCTAGGTCCAATCCTCAGCCACACAAACACACACACACACACAACTGGTTTCTTCTATTTGCCTTCACCTAAGTAAAAAGTAGCTCTTTCTTGAACCCACTTCATTCCCTATCCCATGGAGAATCTCCCTTTTCCTGTTCACCTAATTAAATGTTGAAGTAAACAGTCAAAACTTGTCCTTATTTGCCACTGTTATTTATAGCCCTCCTGCATTTTCTCCTTCTCCATTCACCACTTTTCCATAACATCTGTATCAGCAACTAACACATATTATTCTGGTTCACTCTAATCTTAACTATCATCAGTTTTTCCATACACATTTATTACTTCAAATTCTTTATTCTCCTTGACTCTGTGGAGCTGCATCACTTCTTCACAGTAGCAAGACCAAATCTCAAACACTGATAGTTCTGTGAGGGTTCTATCTTGAGCCTGTTGAGCATCTCTAACTAGAACCATTTTGCCATTTTTTTCAATTCCCACACTGCACCTGGTTTCTACTGTGCCTCATTCACTTAATCCAAACCTCTCCCCAATCCTTTTCAAATGTTGTTCCATCAACTAAATAGACTTGTGAGATGTGTGGGGTGAGGTGTAGTGGGCTATAGCTAAAAATACATTTTGCTGGGCCTCACCCATGAAGCTTCAAATTTAGTACATACAGTATCAATTTTAAATCTTAGCTATACCATGGGATTTATTTTTAAGTGCTTGAACTTCATCCCCATAAAATTTGATTTTAAAAGCCTGCATTTGGGTCTGGATAATAATAGCTTTAAAAAGTTTCCCAGATGAGTCTAATGAGCATCAAAGGTTGAAAACTTTACACCAGGGTGAGATACAAGAATCAGGACCTTAACTTACCACCAAAGTAACCCTCTGGTCAGATTTGAGACCACTGTGTTAGGAACCTCCTAGTTAGAATGCACTTCCTTCACACTTAGAGGGTTTTAGAATCTATCACTGCCCTTTCCAGTATTCTTTCTCCTACCCCTACACTTTTCTTTAAACCTTAAGGATGTGTCCTCATAATCTGGTCTACTATCTACTATTTTTTTTTTGAGTTTTCATTCTAAATAGTTTTCTACTCTTATAAATGTGGTACAATGATTTAAAAAAAAAAAAACACTATTACAGGGCCACCTGAATTAAGTCATAAACTCAATCTAGAGAAAAGACACCTGTTAACCTGGGATAAAATGGAAGAATCACTAAAATGGCTTAAAGAAAAAGTTATTGATGACAATTAGATTCCTAAACAAACTCCCAGGGACTCTTATTTTAATCCAGAAGGAGGCTGAAAAAACCTAACAGGCTGCAAAATATCTTTCCTTGCCTGCCCTACCACATCAGGATCCCCCCACCCCAAACACACATTAAGGCCTTCCCTACCCACTGGTAAACTTCATTCATCATCCCAGTTATCCTGGCTTTCCTGACTTCTGGAAGAACCAAGTATATATTTTCTTGACTTAGGCTTTTGACTGCTACATATAACTCAGAATTACAGCTCTGACAATCTCTCTTTGAGACAAACACATAATCTACAATAAACTGTCATAAATTCTGTTTATAAACTGTTATTAAAACAAAACAAAACACAATGGTACCAAAACTGAAAGTCCTTATAAGTTACCAGAAACTGCTTTCAGAATCTAAGGTTTTTCTGTTCATTCCATCTTCTTCTACTCTAACCTATGTCTTTTCAAAGTTTAATTCAAGATTTCAATTTTTTCTTGAACTTTATTCTTTTTTTACTAGTAGTACAAATCCATAAACTTTTTTTTTTTACAATTACTAAATTCTACAAATTCTTGAAGTGGAAATATTTTTGCAACTCATTTGAGGTCGCAAAGCATAAACCTGACCTGAACCGACATACTGACATGAGTCTGACTTTATCCCATTTAAGGTGAACACATATACATTTTCTTGCAGTTTTTTTTTAACATGTTTGAATATAGGAAGCCTCACTGTGGGTTTAT